ATCTACCCATCCACTCATCCACTCATCCATCTACCCACCCATCCATCTACCCTATTCATCTACCCACCCACCCACCCATCCATCCACCCACCCACCCATCCATCCACCCACCCATCCTTCCACCCACCCACCCATCCACCCACCCACCCATCCATCCACCCACCCACCCATCCTTCCACCCACCCACCCATCCATCCACCCACCGATCCACCCATGCACCCATCCGTCTACCCACCCATCCATTCTTCCATCTCTCCATTCATCCATCTGTCCTTCCATCCTTCCACCATCTGTCCATCCATCCTTCCATCCATTTATCCATTCTTTCATCAATCCACCCATCCACCTATCCACCCCATCTACTCCAGTCGCCCATCCACCCATCCATCCACCTACCATCTACCCATCCACCCACTCACCCACCCATCCACTATCCACCCATCCACTATCCACCCATCCGTCTTCCCACCCTCCCACCCATTATCTACCCATTCATCCATCCATTCTCCCTCCCTCCATTCACCACCGTTGGTCATATGATGCTCTGTCTAGAAACTCTGACATGACATCTCGGCCATCTCTGTGCTGCCTGTGCCTCCCACCTGTGGTCGCAGCCACGGGCTGATTCCTTAGCTAAACTCTGCACAAGCCAGAGGCCTGAGTGGAGTGTCTGCCCCGTGCCAAGCCCCTGCTTACTGTCCTAACCCAGAACCTGCCCGGTGTGCTCACAAGTGAGGAGGGACATGGGTTTCCCCCAGGATCCCTCAGCAAGCTGCCCAGGGCAGCTGTTTCTACCCACTGACCACAGATGCAGCCCTGGGCCTGCCTGGCACCTCCCTTCTCTCCTCACCCCTCCTTCCCTGCCCGGCACCTCCTCTTCTCTCTCCTCACCCCTCCTTCCCCACCCAGCACCTCCTCTTCTCTCCTCACCCCTCCTTCTGTGCCTGGTGCCTCCTCTTCTCTCCTCACCCCTCCTTCCTCCTCCCTGCAGTTTGGGGAGCACTTTGAGTTCGACTGCAAGGACTGTATCTGCCTGGAGGGTGGAAGTGGCATCATCTGCCAGCCCAAGACGTGCAGCCAGAAGCCTGTTACCCACTGTGTGGAGGATGGCACCTACCTGGTCACGGAGGTCAACCCTGACGACACCTGCTGTAACATCAGCGTCTGCAGTGAGTCTGTGCCCGGGCCCCGGTGCACATCCCCGTAGGTGGGGTTGCATGCTGTCCCCTCCTGGGCAAGTGAGGAAACAGCCAGTGTGGGAGCATCCGATGTCCCCCTTGAGAGGGCTTGGGAGGGGCCGCTGGGCTGGGTCTAGACATCCCTGCTGCAGGGCTGGTCCTGGGTGGGGAGGGGCCCTGTGGAGGTGCAGCGGCCCCGGGGGCTTTGCCTGCCAGGAGCCAGCCTCACGGGGCGTGCCCACCCTGTCTTCAGAGTGTAACACTAGCCTGTGCAAAGAGGAGCCCCCCCTGTGCCCACTGGGATTTGAACTGAGGAGCAAGATGGTGCCGGGCAGGTGCTGTCCCTTCTACTGGTGTGGTAAGCAGGGCTGCAGGGTGGGCAGGAAGGAGGCCACGGCCAGGATGGGGTGCATGTGGGGAAGGACTCCCTCCTGGGGGCCTCAGATTCTGGGGACACAGATGGCTGCATGATTGGCTGACGAACCACCCCAGCCCCGAACGCATGCCCCATTCCCCGGGGGGGGGCACCAGGAATGGGGGTCCAGCCAGATGGGCACCCCAGGGCAGTCACCAACCAACGGCCTTCTCCGTTCTTTCTCCCAAGAGTCCAAGGGGGTATGTGTTCACGAGAATGCTGAGTACCAGGTGAGCCCTGGGCGGGGTGGGGGCGAGGAGGGGAGGAGGTTGGGCTGTGGCGTGGGGGTCCTGGCAGGTTCTCGGCCAGCTGGGGTGGCCCCCGCCTCACGTCTCTCCCTGTCCCCAAAGCCCGGTTCTCCAGTGTATTCCTCAAAGTGCCAGGACTGCGTCTGCACCCACAAGGTGGACAACAGCACCCTGCTCAACACCATCGCCTGCACCCACGTGCCCTGCAACAACTCCTGCAGCCCCGTAAGTGGCTGCCCAACCCCAGCTCCTGCCCTGGCCCTGGATCCCGCCCCAGCCCCAGCTCCCACCCCAGCCTCAGCTCCCACCCCCGCCCCAGCTTCCACCCCAGCCCCGGCTCCCGCCCCAGCCCCAGCCCGGCTCGCACCCCAGCTCCTGCCCCTTCCCTCCTACCAGACAAGCACCGGGGCCCATGTCTGAGTGGTGGCACTTTCTTTCTTCCTTTCAATGCCCACCCGCCGCTGTCCCCACCTCTCCGTGCTGTCACCTGCCCAGTCTGGGGCCTCCTCCAAGTGGGGGTCGCAGCAGCCCTGCAGGTTTGTGTGGTGTGGGGCACAGCCCGGGGGCTCAGCTGCCTCTGTGTGTCTGTCCGCAGGGCTTCGAGCTGGTGGAGGCCCCCGGGGAGTGCTGTAAGAAGTGTGAGCAGACACACTGCATCATCAAGCGCCCCGACAACCAGCACATCATCCTGAAGGTGGGTGCCACTGCCCCGAGGCCGCCGGGTTGCCTGAGCCCTGGGCAAGGCTGAGTCCTCCCAGTCCTGGGCGCAGTGGTGATGGGTGTCCTGGAGCTGCCGTGACACAGGAGCAGGCGCCATAGGGCAGAAAGGGATTCTCCTGGGTCTGGAGCCCAGAAGTCCAAGAGCAAAGGGCCTCAGGGCTGCGCTCCCTTGGAGGCTCTAGGCAAGGACTCTTCCCAGCCCCTGGTCACTGCTGGTATCCCCTGGCTGTGGCCATGGGAATCCATCTCTTGTCTGTAGCCACGTGGTCTCCTTCGCTGTGTCTGTCTCTCCTCTCCCTTTTAAGGATTTAGTACTCCCCCCGTGCCCCCCCCCCCCCCCCCCCACGCAGGATGATGTCATCCCAGGAGCCTCCAAGGCCCCCCCCCCCCCCCCCCCCCCCCCACAGGATGATGTCATCCCAGGAGCCTTCAAGGCCCCGCCCTCTCCCCTCCCCCACGCAGGATCCTTCACTTAATCACACCTTCAAAGAGCCCTTTTCGGAGGCAGGTCATGTTCACAGGTTTAGAGAGTTGCAACAGGCCTTTGAGGGTTGTGTGGGCTCCAGGCTGGTGCCTGACGTGGGTCCCGCCCGTGTCACTTGTCCTGTGGCCCTGGCCCCACCGGGAAGCCTCACGGGCCAAGTGTATTCAGGGTGTCTTCCTGGCCGGGCTGGGGCTGGGCCTGCTGCTCTCCCTCACCGGAACCCCCTGCCCTGCAGCCTGGAGACTTCAAGAGCGACCCCAAGAACAACTGCACGTTCTTCAGCTGCGTGAAGATCCACAACCAGCTAATCTCGTCCGTCTCCAACATCACCTGCCCCGACTTCGACCCCACCATTTGCGTCCCGGTGAGTGGGCCACGGGGGCCTGGCTGTGTGCGCTCTGCCGGGAGTGAGGATGCCTGGTGTTGCTGCGGCAGTGGCCTCGAGCCTGGTCTGTGCGGCCGCGGGAGGCTTTGCCCGGGGCTTTCTGCAGCAGCTCCCCTGCCCACGGCGCGGCAGGAAGGGGCTTTCATCCCCAGGGATGTCTGGGGGTCCCAGGCTCATTCTCTGTTCCCTCCAGGGCTCCATCACATTCATGCCCAACGGATGCTGCAAGACTTGTGAGTACAGGGCACGGCCCAGGGGTGGGCGTGGTGTGGGCACAAGGGCTGGAGCCCTCAGCCCTGCCTGCCCAGGGGTGGCTAGGCCACGGCCTCAGGGTGGGCATGAGGGCCGGGGGCTGAGGCTGGGCCTCAGGAGGGGCTGCATTGAGGGGGAGCCACTCTGGCCCTCAAGGATGTGGGGACCCTGCCCTGAGCCACTGCCCGCTCTCCCCAGGCATCCCTCGAAATGAGACCAGGGTGCCCTGCTCCACCATCCCCGTCACCAGGGAGATTTCACATGCGGGCTGCACCAAGAGTGTCATCATGAATCACTGCTCCGGGTCCTGCGGGACATTCGTCATGTGAGTCCCCAGCTGGGAGTGTGTCTGGTGGGGACGGTGGAGGCCCCAGAGGGGCGGGAGGCCAGCGCTGCCCCAGGAAGCCGCCCCTCACTCTGCTCTCCCCCCAGGTACTCGGCCGAGGCCCAGGCCCTGGACCACAGCTGCTCCTGCTGCAAAGAGGAGAAGACCAGCCAGCAGGAGGTGGTCCTGGACTGCCCCAATGGGGGCTCGCTGACGCACACCTACACCCACATTGAGACCTGCCAGTGCCAGGACACCGTCTGCGCACTCCCCGCCAGCACCTCCCGCCGGGCCCGGCGCTCCCCCATGCGTCTGGGGAACGCGTGAGCGGCGTGGGCACATCCCGGCTCCGCTGCCCTCCGCAGCTCTGCCTCCCCTGAGAGGCCTCCTAAGCAATAAATACCCTCGCTTCAGATATTTATTGTGAGTCTTTGTTCAGTCTTTGCTTTCCGGTAATAAACTCAGCAGACTGCTGCACTGCAGGAGTGTGGCCTGGCCACTGTGCAGTGGTGGGCAGAGAAGGGATGGCAGGCCGTGCAGACGGGGTCTGATTCCTTTCTAGGAGCCCTTCCGGCCTGGAGGCTGTGAAAAGAGCCCTGGGTTCCTTCACAGCTGTTTCTCAGGTTTTCCACGGTTGCTGGGGACTTTGTGTAGCCCCGAGGCTCAGGTGGCCCTGGGGAGAGGGTACGTGTGTGTGTGCACACGCGTGTGAGCATTTGTGTGCACGTGTGTCTGCATGTGCCGTGTGTGTGTGAAGTGCACCCCGCCCTGGGTCTCCACACTGGGAAAAGGGAGAAGGTCTTAGTCCTTGGGTCACTGTCAGCTCCTGCTACAAAGTGACAAAAGGCAGCCAGGACCTGGTGGCCCTGCCAGGAATTCCAGGAGCTGCTGGTCAGAGCCACCAACACCTTCAAACCAATTTACAGAAGTTCTGGTTGGCTCTGTGGACTCAGCCGGACAGCGGGCACTGGGCGTGCACCCTGGACACAGTACCCATGTGCGTGGGAGAGCTGAGCCCCTGGCCTTCTGGGTGGAGCCCAGCAGCCCCAGCACAGGCCAGGAAATGGACAGGGCAGGGTGGGGGCACTGTTGCCAGAGGCCGGGTAAGGAAGAGGTGGTCAGGCTTTCTCATCTGTCTCCCAGCTTGCAGCTGTGAAGAGGGGGCTCCCCCAGTGACACAGTGTGGACACGGGTACAGCTGGCCCCTGCCTGCTCTTCCCTGCTGTGCCCTTTAAAGCAGAGGCTCCCTGGGGAGCTCAGGAGAGCATAAGCCCTGACACCCAATCCTTTCCCAGAGCAGGCCCCGCCCCTTTCCTAGGACAGGCCCCACCCCTTCCCCAGAGCAGGCCCCTCCCCTTCCCCAGAGCAGGCCCCACCCCTTTCCTAGGACAGGCCCCGCCCCTCCCCCAGAGCGGGCCCCACCCCTTCCGCCCACTCAGGATCTCCTGTCCAGAGCCCCAGCGCAGGTGTTGAGGGTTGGGAGGGAGCTGCCCTTCAGGTGGAGGCAGGGTTGGTGCAAATGGAGGGGCGAGGAGACGCAGGGGCTCCCCCAACTCCGTCCAGTCACTGTGCAGCCCCCGACTTTATTCCCAGTGCCCCCCGTCTTCCTCACATAGCTCATGCCCCCAGCTGGGTCCTTCTGGGTCTCCCAGGGGTGACTTGGGGCAGGGGCTGCCTGCTTCCCTGGGCTCACCACAATGGGCTACGCCCACAGCAGAGGAGATGGGAGCCAGCCAGCCAGGTGGACAGCCCCGACCCCCTTGGAGTAGCTGGAAGGATTGGGACCAAGTTCTCCCATTCCCCAGAAGAAGCTGGCTGTTCCCATGGCGGCCTCGCTGTTTCTGGGAGCAGATGGAAGGCCCCAGCGCGCACCCCTCCCTTCCCCTGATGTGAGACTCGCTGCTGTCCCCTTGGCTGAAACAAGCCACGCGCCTGCTGTCGGGTGCTCCGGGGTGCACCAGCAAATCACCACAAACCAGGGCAGGGAGCCACAGGAAAGCCCTTTCCTGCAGTTCGGGGGCCGCGTCTGAGGGGAAGGCCTGGTGGAACCATTCGTGGCCCAGGCTCCAGGAGGGCGCTGCTCAGCCTCGGAGAGGGCATGGTTCAGGCTCCGTGGGATGTTTTCGGCCCCTCCAGCTGAAGGTGGCTCCGGGCGCTCCTTGGCTTGTGGCTGCATCGTCCATGCCCCCCCCTCGCGGGGGCTTCTCCTGGACGTTTCTCCTCTGCGTCTCTTCTAAGGACGCCAGTGGTTGGATTTAGGGCCCACCTGATTGATAGTTCAGGGGGAGCTCATCGAGAGGCCCTTAACTTAATCACATGGGCAAAGACCCTTTTTCTTTCCTTTTTTTTTTTTTTTGGAGACATTCTTGCTTTGTCTCCCAGGCTGGAGTGCAGTGGTGTGATCTCAGCTCACTGCAACCTCTGCCTCCCCGGTTCAAGTGATTCTCCTGCCTCGGCCTCCGGAGTGGCTGGGATTACAGGCACCCGCCACCATGCCCAGCTAATTTTTGTATTTTTAGTAGAGACAGGGTTTCACCATGTTGGCCAGGCTGGTCTTGAACTCCTGACCTCTGGTGATCCGCCCACCTCGGCCTCCTAAAGTGCTGGGATTACCGGAGTGAGCCACGGCGCCTGCCCCCCGTCTTGGTGGCTCACGGCAGCAGGGTTCTGTTTGGCTCACGCTCCGTCCGTGGCAGCGTGGCTGGTGCCCTTCTCCTCATCCACTCACTCCAGGGCCTAGGCTGTGGGAGGAGCTATAGCCTCTGTGGTCATGGCGTGGAGACAGGGGCCCGAGGGTCTTCCCGTGTCCAAGACCCGTGGGATTCTGGCTCTGCTCAGACACCAGGCCCCTGGGGCTGCAGTACCACCACCAAGCAGAGGAGGGTGCCAGAGACGTGCGGAGGATTTAAAAACCCAAGGACCCGAGGGGCACACAGGGGTCTGATGGAAGTCAACTGCCCACTCGACCTGCTGCTGTCGAAAAAGCAAGCCCATTTCTCCACGTCCTCTCCAGCATCTATTGTCTCCAGAGTTTTCAATGGTCGCCATTCTGACTGGCGTGAGATGGTATCTCAATGTGGTTTTGATTTGCATTTCTCTGATGACCAGTGATGATGAGCATTTTTTCATGTTTGTTGACCTCATGTATGTCTTCTTTTGTAAAGTATCTGTTCATATCCTTTGCCCACTTTTGAATGGGCTTGTTTGTTTTTTTCTTGTAGATCTGTTTTAGTTCTTTGTAAATTTTGGATATCAACCCTTTGTCAGATGGGTAGACTGCAAAAATTTTTTCCCATTCTGTTGGCTGCCGATTCACTCAGAGTTGGGGAGAGAGAGCATGGGGAGAAATGCCAGCTATAGGTGAAGGGGAGGAAGGCAGCAAATCACACTGCCATGTGTGTACCTATGCAACTATCTTGCATGTTCTTCACGTGCACCCCAAAACCTAAAATGCAATTAAAAAAAAAAAAAAAGCAAGCCCAGCCTGGAAGGGAGCAGTCTCTACCTGCTTAGGAAAACAGTACACGTCGGACCCCTTGGTGGGACGTGGGACTCCCTCCCACAGAAGCCGGGCACGTGGGAGATGTTGGCCACGGCCGTGCCTTCCCTCCACAGGGCACTGGAGGCTTCACCAAGGCCACAAGGCAAGAGCAAGGAGAAACGAACAGCAGCACTGGGAGGAGGCAGAGCTCTGCTGATTTGTTTCATTTGTATCTGCTTTTTTGTAAAGTCAAGGTTTAGCCGTGTTGCCCAGACTGGCCTTGAACTCCTGGGCTCAAGAAGTGATCTGCCTGCCTCGGCCTCTCAAAGTGCTGGGATTACTGATGCGACCCACACTACTGCCCTTATTTAATATAATATGATTATCAAGATGTAAAAGGTAACTGGCCAGGCGTACTGGCTCATGCCCATAACCCCAGCCCTTTGGGAGGCCAAGGGGGGCAGATCACCAGAGGTCAGGAGTTCCAGACCAGCCTGGCCAACATGGTGAAACCCTGTCTCTACTAAAAATGCAAAAATGACCCAGGGGAGGTGGCGGGCACCTGTAATCCCAGCTACTCGGGAGGCTGAGGCAGGAGAATTGCCTGAACCCAGGATGCGGAGGTTGCCGTGAGCCGAGATCGTGCCATTGCACTCCAGCCTGGGTAACATGAGTGAAACTCCGTCTCAAAAAAAAAAAAAAAAGAAGATGTAAAAACCAAAAGAAACTGTGACTTTATTACTTGAACTCATGCGAGGGTTCGGTAATATTGTGCTGGCTACAAGACTGATGAAGGAAAAGCAATAGCGTATGTTCACACCAGCAGAAACCAAGTTGAAATGTGATAGAAAATATCTCATTAACAGCTTCACAGCCTACGAAGACACCCACGTAGGCAACATCAGATGGAAGGTGTCCAGGCCGTGATGAGAACGTTGCAAAGGGCATGGAAGAAGCCTTGACTGACTGGAGAGGCGTGTCACGTTCGTGAATGAAAAGGCTTCAGTTTTGGAAAATGAGGTCCATAAAAGAAAGTGAAAACGGAGGTCGACTCTGCAAACGGCCTTTCACAATCCCAGTTGAGTTTTTCGTGGGACTTGGTGGGCTGGTCCAAAAGTGCACGTGGATGGCTGAAAAGCCAAGCAGAGCTAGGCAAGTTTCAGGGAAGAATCACGTGGGAGGCCGTCTCTCCGAGCCTCCTGCCTCTGGGACGGCGTGGCGTTGGTGCAGGGACAGGCAAGTGGATGGCTGGAACAGCCCGTGCGCTCACGGTGATGTTCTGAGGCGGGCGCGTGCTCCACGTCTACAAGGAAGGAGGACTGTCCCCCCGTGAGTGCTCTGGGCAGGTGCTTCCTCCACGTGGGGAAATTAGGTGCCTGCACCACGCTCCAAACAAAACCGCGGGGAGATTAAACAACTCCGACGTGGAAAGCTAAACCCGAAAACGCTGAGAAGGAAAGCAGGCGTAATAACGATGACCTCGGGGTGGGAAAGGGTTTTTACCGAGTCACGGAAGTCACAAGCCATCAAAGAGGGAGCGTTTGACCACACTACACTTTAAAACTGTTTGAAAAAAGACAACAAAGTAAAAATGCGAGCCCTGTAGTGGGAGGAGGTACTTCTGCGCATGTGGCGCGGAGGGCCAGAGTCCAGGGCATCTAGCGAGCGTCACCGTCAGACAGGCAGCCCAAGGCTGGGGCGGGCGTCACCGCGGAGGAAACGCAGTGAGAAGCCAGCGGGGAGGCTCGGCCGCCAGGACCCGGGGAGGTGCGTGGCGATCGTCTCACGCCTCCAGAGAGGGCACACTTGCCACGTTCAGGCGAGAGCGGTTGGTCAGGGCAGCCAAGCTGAGGACGCAGTCCTGCTTCCGGGCACCCGGGGAGCTGCCCACCGGGAGCATGACGAGTTGCAGTGCCCTGAGTGCGTGTCCGCCAGGAA